GCCCAGCCGCACCCCCCGACGCCCCCCTACAGCACGATCCCCAGCCCGGCCGCACGGGATCACTGCATCCCAGTAGGAAGCAGACCCCAAGGCCCAGGGATACGGCTTGTCAGTGCATCGCAGCTCTCCGGGCTGGTGCAGGACCATGCTGTGACTTTGGTGGGCCTGTGGAATGCCAGTGCTACTGCTTCTGGCCCAATTCCCCCATTTCCATGAACCTCCAGAACGTTTCTTTCTAAGATCTGCTTTAGCTCAATCAGAAGCTCCCGGCTGGCAGACGGGATGATCAGAATGGTCTTTCTAGCCTTAAATTCTATGACTCTCTGAGAAGTTTCGGGTCTGGGTTTGACTTTTTTGGGGTCATGGTCCCACTTGGCTGTGGCTTGAGACAAACCCACCTGCTACTCACTGTCACGGAGTCCCCGGGCGATGCTCTGGACCTGCGCCCCACAAAGCCAGTCACTGAGGCACCCACACAGTATTCAGAGGAAACATTAAGAACAGTCCCACTTCGTCACACTCACCAGCTCCCTCGGGGCCGCACAGGGAGTGAGACGTTATTCCAGCCTGTAACGTGCTCTGAGGCCCTCAGCTGAATGGCGCTGGGGAAGCACAGAGGGTCATTAACTAACACATGACACGACTGGGAAAGGGCTGGTCCCGCTCAGAGAGAGTGGGAAGCTCCTACTCCTGATTCCAGGCTGCTGCGGCTTGGTAGAAGGAGCTGACATGGTCCCCCACCCCCACCCGGAGGAACACACCTTCCTGGGGACTAGACACCACACAGCCAAGTTCCTGGGGGGATATAAAGGAAAGGATAAAACCAGCAGCCAGGGTTCAGCCGCATGGGGCTGGCCCCAGCAGCTTCCTCCCCAGATCCACAGATCTGCTGCTTTCCCAACCAGGAGAACAGCAAGACAATCTGTCCTGCTCAAAGACTTCCAGCCACGCCACTCTCTGACAAGAACCCTCTTCCATCCAGCCGCGTCTTTTCAGTTTTTGTCAGGGTCTATTATAGCTGAATAATGCCGCCATGTAACAACATACCCTCCGGTGCACGCTGCGCACGGCTTTCTAGCAGGAGCCAGATTAATCACAGAGAATAATTACAACGCTACGGGACACTTACACAGTCACACAAACGCCATCAAACTGGCTCAATGGCAGACGCTCTTTGGGCGATAAAACCAAAGCAGGACAAGTTCTCAGCAGGTAAATGCCTCCCAGGAATCCAAACACCCTGCAGGTTATTCGCTCTCGATGCTTCCAGCTTAGGGGGCTATGAATCCACATCCTGGGGCTCCTACCCCAAGGAAACAAGACAGAGACCACCCCGCACCCACCACAGCGCCCTGCCAGAGAGGAGAGCGTGGGCAGGACCCGCCCCAGTGACTTGGCCAGGGATTTAGCAAGCCTAGGTGTGTAGTCCGGGTGACTGCCCAGGAACTCATCTGAACAGATTTCGATGGGCAGGTCCCTTCCAGGTGCACACACCTGCCTGTGCAGGGTATGGAAGTGCCACAGTATTTGCCAGCTTTAACCATGTCCCTTTCTGGGAAGGCACGAGGCACCGCCTGATTTCTGTGCCCCAAGCCTGATGCATTGTGGGGGAGCATCAGAGCCAGCCATCCTCAGCCCTTCAGCACTGCTTCCCCAGCCTCCCAGCCCATCAGCACCTCCCCACTGCTGCCCCATGCCTGGTGGGCACTGGGTGAGCACTGTGCCTGCCTGCTCCCCACACGCAGGCTGCGCCTCAGTGCAGACGGCTGGGGATACTGAGCAAACTGCATGGTTCTCTCCTGGTGCTGCCACCTCGACAGCGGGGCTGACCCGGCGTGTTGCAAAGCTGAGCCCCTGAGGTGCCATTTTTACACACTCAGAGCCAGTGTGCGGGGTTGCCACAGCTGGGGCGGGAACACCCAGTGACACAGCATTGCCCTGGGACCCAGCCTCACCACAGGCAGGAGCCTGAGAGAAGAGAGGTTCTGACCTCTCCCAGCCCTGACAGCGACATGGCTGGCCCTGGCATCTCCTTTGGTCACAATGACAGTGTCCGACTCTGCCCCCAGCGGAGGCAGACAGACTGACTCCCAGCAACATCCCATGCTCAGGAATAACTCCTGGAAAATGCAGCCACCTTGACAGGGTGGCTTTTCTCTTCATGTGGGGTCCCAACACCCTAGCAGGGCACCCCCGCGGGGTTACTCCCCCCTCAGCCCTGACAGGCTTCCCTCACACTCCTCACTGACACAAGCCCTGCGCTCCCCTTACTCACCTGCCCCTGCATTCAGAACTCTGCCTTCCAGCCGACTGAGGCCTGAGATGGTGCCTGGGCCTCATGCTGGCCTCTGCATGGGGAATTCACACTCGCCCTCCCCCACTGAAGAAAAGCCAGGCCAGGGCCCGGCTGCACTTTTTTGTGCCCTCGGCCAAGGCCTGTTCCAAGGGAGGTCACCGAGACTTTGCCAAGGGGGCCTTTTCTGTCCTGCTCTTCCCCCGCCCTTTGAGCCCAGGAGCCAAGATGCAAAGGCCACCACTGAGGAGGGGCGGGTAGCCCTGGTGCATCCAGTGGCCTCTGCTGTGGGTCCTTTATCTTTTTCAATGAGCAACAACCAGGATGAAGGGCCTGTGCTCCCAGGCAGTGGGCACACGGCCACAATTCAAACTGCAGGCACATAACAGTGAAGCTAGACACATCCGCCCACTCCAAGCCAGGAAACAAGGAAATAACCAGCCAGAGGTTAAAGCAAATCCAAGCCTTACTCCAACCCCCCTCCTAGCCCAGCCTATCCTGCACCACTCCCCCTTAGTCAAAGCCTGGGGAAGGAGATGGCCGCTGAAAGTCTACAGGTCTGGGCTATCTAGGGCGAAGGGGGAGTGAATCCAGCACAACTGAAGCAGCCCTACAATAACACAGCAGCGAGGGCAGCCCAGCGCTCGGGA